AGCTGAACTGCGGGTATCGGTCCGCTTTTGGATGCAGTTCAAGGGGTTGGTTATGACTTTTTAAAAGTTTTAGGTTATATAACGAACCATTTCGTTCTACTATGACCAGCCCGCTCCATTTGTGCTGGCAAAGAGGATCTACAGTCAGGGAACTCTGACTACTGGGACACAGAAGAACCCTCTCTGCCATAGCGCCCACTCTTTAGAACATCTTACCCTACGCGGTGAGATCTGACTCCACTTTCCTAATCTTCCATAAGAACCTGAAGATCGGCTCTGCTGATTGGTCTGGGAATCTAACGGAAGAGTAGCAGACATGGGGGTGGGGGCGGGCGGGGGGGGGCTACTAGATAGCAAACTCCACCTGTCCTTGCTTCCTGCTTCCCCACCTGTCCATTGTCAACTCATAAAACATTTCAATGCCCGTTTTATAGTTGCCAACAGAACGGGAGTGGGGAAGGAGTTTGAAAGAGCAGTGCAGCAGTTTGGAATCTAAAGTGCATTCCATTGATTCTTGCAGAGATTGTAACTAGGCGACTGAAGTTTCTCCTGCACAAATCTCTAATTGGAGAATATGATTGATGACTCTTGGCTATGGACGTGTTTCGTTGGAGAATATGATTTATGATACACCCAGAGGTGGGGGAAAACCAGGGTCAAGGGTGACAGTGAATTACATGTCTCAGAATCGGCTACATACAAGTCATGCCAATGTCATTCCTAATGAATTCTTTGAATTTTTTTGAAGTTTGGTTCAAGGCTCATAATTTAATTAGGGAGATCGCTGGAATCCTGACAGCTAGCCGATTCTGAGACACCCATTTTTTATTTTCATATTACTGTATACCCAGTTTTCTTTTTATTGTTTATTCTATTGTTCTGTTATTGTTATGTTTACGCTCTTTTCATTTTTCCATTTTTATTATTGTAAGCCTCCTAGAGTAGCCACATGGTGAGATAGGCAGCAAATAAACTTAAAAAAAAACCCTGCTGCGTTAAGCATAGGAATATTAAAGTTAGACTCTAGGCTTGGACATTTTCAGCAGCCCAAACAGCAACATCTGGACTTGTTTAAAGCTTGCATCCTTGCATGTACAAATTCCTCTTTTTTCTGGTTGCTGTGATATTTGTGTTGGATTTGAGATTACAAAACTATAGTATGGGCCAGGTTATATGTTGATACTTGAGTCAAACTTAAATATCCCAACATGAAAAATAAAAGTATGTTTGCTAGCCAACTGTCTTCAAACAGAGTCAGGTACTTAACTATAAATTAACAACATTTCTGCTTTATATACTGTATTCAGTCTCAGGCATCTTGATCTTGCTCACTGCAAAGCCTATTAGCACATTGAAAAGAAAAATAATATATGCTATACCTTGATTCATATTTTGATAATGTTTTTTCTTCCCAAGCTGTATTGCCACCTCCAAAGTTCTTCTTTGCTGTGTCTGTTAGCCCCTTTAGAACACAAATTTGATAAAATGAATATTTTTTCAAAATATTGTTTTTACTACCAAAATGCAGACCCTTTTTCAAAAAAATTTATACCCTAGCCAAGTGGTGCCCAGGGACCGGTTCCATGGATAGTATACTATATCGAGGTCCAGTAAGAAATATTTACAGAAAGTATACATACAATACAGAAATGTATTACTCTGCAAATGAATTAGTTTACTCTTTTTTGAAAGCTCATACTTCAAGTCCATACAAAGGTTAAGCCCTATTAATTGATAGATTATTGTTCTTTCTACCTGTTTGCACACAAACCAGCAAATATTAATCAGCATTTTTGAAAGTGATTCTATCAACATGCTTTGAAACCAGTAATAATTCAAATTTTCACTAGTGTCAATGCACTAATAGTACTCTTCTTTCCAATAATTAATCCCAATACAAAAGAGTTCTAATTTTATACCATTCTCATTTAATATTTTCTCAGTTCATTATGTACCAGCCTAACTATAAATCCATATCCTTATTTATAACACCATAAAATTGAATTAGGAAGTGTTTTAACAAATGCTTTCTGTCACAGTTTAAAATTTAAGGATTTTTTAAAAGAAACATTTCTGGAACATGAGAGCCAGTTTTGTGCACTGACAGAGGTGCTAGTACAGGCAGTCCTTGATTTATGACCATAACTGAGCATACACATTTCCACTGCGAAACAAGGCAGTTGACTTGTTTTACATTTTTTGCCACAGTTGTTAAGTGAATCGCTGCAGTTGTTAAGCCAATCATGCCATTGTTAAACAAATCTAGTTTCCTACATTGAGTTGGCTTGTTGGAAGCCGGCAGGGAATCACATGACTGCAGAAAAGTGTCACATCATAAATACATGCTTGTTACCTACTGTCCGATTTTTGATCATGTGACCATCGGGATGTTGCAACGGGTTGTAAGTGTAAAACATGGCCATGACATTAAAAAAAAAAAAAACTTCCAATGGTCACTAAATGAATGGTTATAAGTTGAGGACTACTTGCATAGGCTCTGAAGTCTAGCTCTGCTTTTTAAGCATAAAAGCCAGCTGGGTCATTTTAGGCCAGTCTCTCTCTGTATCTCTCTGCCTCTTTCTCTTCTTTTTCTCTTTCTCCCTCCCTCCCTCCCTCTTTCTCTGCCTCTTACATTGTCTCTCTCTTTCTGTCTCTTATTCTCTCTCTCTCTTATTCTCTTTCTCTGCCTCTGTCTGTCTCTTTCTCTCTGTCTCTCTTATTCTGTCTCTTTTTCTTACACTCTGTCCCTCTCTCTTTCTCAGCCTCTTACACTCTCTCTTTCTGTCTCTCTTACTCTGTCTCCTTCTCTAACACTCTGTCTCTGTCTCTTTCTGTCTCTTACTCTCTCTCTCTGGCTCTCTCTTATTCTCTGTCTTGTTCTCTTACACTCTGTCTCTTTCTCTCTCTCTTATTCTCTTTTTCTTACACTGTCTCTCTCTCTTTCTCTGCCTCTTACACTCTGTCTCTTTCTGTCTCTTACACCTTGTCTCTCTTACTCTCTGTCTCTTTCTCTAACACTCTCTCTTTCTGTCTCTTTCTCTCTCTCTCTCTCTGGCTCTCTCTTATTTTCTGTCTCGTTCTCTTACACTCTCTCTCTTTCTCTGCCTCTTACAGTCTCTCTCTCTCTCTCTCTTACTCTCTCTGTGTCTTACTCTGTCTCTTTCTCTTACACTCTCTCTTTCTCTGCCTTACACTCTGTCTCTGTTTCTTACACTCTGTGTCTCTTTCTGTCTCTGTTTCTCCCTTCTCTCTCTCTCCCTAGCCCACCTCACAGGGTTGTTGTTTGCGTGGAAAACAAAGACACGGGAATGTTAAGATCACCGCCTCGAGTTAATTTCTGAAGCCTCCCTGTAAAGACACAACCCTAACGAATAACGCTATTAAAAATAAGCCAGGACACAAACATTTTGTCTACACGGAACACACAGTACACCGCAATTTGTTGGTGTTACCCCTATTTAAGAAACTAGTTTTAATGAGGGGGCGGGGAAAACCAACTTTCTCCGACTATTTTAAATGGAATATATGTTAAATGGAATATGGAATATGTTAAATGGAAGCAGTTAAGCCAAGGTCTCTCGCCCTCCGCCCTCCTTAAGCTGCCGAGCAAAGGTACCCTCAAGCTTCCCTGCCTCTCCCACCTGAGCGAACCGGTCGACGATCCCTCGACAGGTGTTGCAGGCCTGCCGGAGCCTCTCCTCAGGGGAGCCCAGAGCTTGCGACGCGGGCGGGAAGGAGAGGAAGGCCAGGAAAGCAAACGCTTCCAGCCATCTCCACGCAGCCCGACCGGCTTTCATCGCTTTAGGCAACCGCCCCCTCCCCTTCCCCTGAGCTCGAAGGCCGGTTCTTATTCACAACTCTTTTGCTTTTGCTTAGTCCCGCCCACGCTCACCTCCGGCCAATCGTGCGGCTCCCAGCGGAGACCCTCGTGCTGGGAAAGCAGGGCACGTGGCCCAATCGTGGCTCGCCACGCTCCGAGCCAATGAGAAGCCCACGTAGGGGGTTTAAAAAAAAAAGTGGGGGGGGAGCGGAAGAGCTAGGAACCGAACCGTAGATGTACGCAACGTTCCAGTCTTCAGGATTGTGACGTCATCCTTCAGAATTTCTTTTCTTTTTTTTTTTTCCAAGCGAGGAATTATGAAGAGATTTCCCGTATTAATCAGTTCCGTTGCCAGGAAGTGTCTTCACTCACCCAATATCCTTTAATTTGGATTTATGACTATTACCAACATCCCAGTTTCTGGGATAACTTAAGGCTGCCTATTTAAGAAGGGAAAAATAAAACGGAAGCCGTCGTAATCCTTGTGTAAATAATAATAATAATAAATAAATAATAATAATAATAATAAATAATAATAAACAACGCACACAAGAAAGAGAAGATCTTTCCTGCAGGAGATCGAATGGTGGAGAGGAGCGTTGTTTTCTCCCTCTCTCTTTCCAAGGATCTTCCACCCGGGGAGTTGCCAGGAACCGAGGCTTCGTCCAAAAAGCATTGCAAATTGTCATGACTCCGTCACGGAGGCACAAGGAGCGAGCGCTGCGTTTGGGCAACGGGAGAGAAAAGATCGAAGAAACAGACTCCCCCTCCCCCATTTTTTATTTATTTTTTGATGGGAGAGGGACTTCTTGCCCGAATTGCAAGAAATACTTCCCCCCCCCGTCCCCCCCTATTCACCGGAGTCGCCTCCTCCCGGGTCAAACCCGGGCAGCGGCAGATGGAAACAGTGCCGCCTCCTCCTCCTCCTCCTCCTATCTGAGAACGCTGCAGGCCCTGCCGGTTAAAAGAAACGGGGCGGAGGAAGGCGAAAAGAAAAGAAAAAAGGCAGCGCATCATCTTTGTTGGTTACCGTTTTAACTCTTTTCAATGAGACCCCCGAGGAAAAAGAAAAAAGAAAAAAAAAAGGAAAGGCGCAGCAACAGCTGCCGCCGCCGTCGCCGCCCACGGGGAGCTTGGGGTCAAGGCGAATCACGTGACCAAGCTGGCCCCGCCCCCGAGGGGTGTCACGTGACCCCAGGTCGGAAGAAGCCACGTGGGCGCCTTCCGGGTGAGTCCCGGCTCGGGTGGGAAGAGGGCGGTGTGGAAGCGCTCGGCTTTTTCCCGGCGGGTGGGCTACGTGGGGGTCTTTCGTTATTGTCCCCATTTATTCGTACCTATTTCCTGTGTTCTCACTCACGTTTGTACTAATACCTGTTATCTTGTAAGCGATTGACAAATCAAATCAATAAAAAAAATCGGATTACCAATAAAAAAAATAAAATAGCCCCGGCGAAGATGATGTTTCCCAGGGAAATTTAAAAGTGGGGTCTCAGGGGAATGAGATGAAGGTATCCGATCGTTCTCTTGTCACGGAAGCCCACGACAGCCTGCCTCTCGGGAGGGTTTGGGAATAAAACAAATGGAGGAGACGGCTGCAGTGTTGTCAACTTTTGGATCTGTTGGGGGGAAAAGGCAGGAGATAAAACAACACAATTAAAAAAAGGATTTTTTTCCCCTTTCCGCTTTGAAAAGCGTGCATAAGCGCACCATCGTGCCTACCGTCCCTGTCCTATTGTTTCTCTTATTCTTTTATTTTTCTTATATGTACCCATTTCATGTATTCACAACTATGTATACAGTTATACTTATTATCTTGTAAACAATTGGCAAATCAAATAAATAAATAAATGAATGTAAAATATCGACCTGACAAAGTTTCCATCAATTGCTGTCTTGTTTAAGAAATAATGAAGGGATCTTGCCTGCCTAGAGAGAAGGAAATATGCTGGAATGAGGGATCCGTTTTTCTCCTGGTCCATGGCTTCCTTTATCCTCCCTGCCCCAGTAAAGTGACAGGCTGTTCCACAGGCAGGAGGAGGAGGAAGAGTCTAGTGAGGCTACTGAGAGGAAAGGAAACAGCTTCCTTCCTTTCTACCTACCTACCGTAGTTTATAATTATCTAAAGGCAGCAAACACACATACCATATTCCTTCTTTCTCTTTTCCCCCACAATAACAATCCTGTGAGATGGGTGTTGGGTTGAACTGAGAAAAGAGTGACCTGCCCAAGATCAAACAGCAAGTTTCCCAACTAAGCAATTTGTGTCTCCCTGCTCCTAAATCTAATACTTAATCCAGGTTATTACATATATTAGAAAGGGTCAGTGGATCAGTGCTTGTCTAGTAATTACCAAAGCTTCCATATTCTGGACCAGCTGTAGCTTCTGAATTATCTCCAAGGGGAGTGTACATAGA